AGGATGTATCCATGGGAACAACCTACAGTGGTATACTGATAAGGATGTATCCATGTGAACAACCTACATTGGTACACTGATAAGGATGTATCCATGTGAACAACCTACGGTGGTACACTGATAAGAATGTATACATGACAAACAACTTACATATACTGATAGGATGTATACATGCTGAACAACCTACAGTGGTATACTGATAAGGATGTGTCCATGTGAACAACTTACAGTGGTATACTGATAAGGATGTATCCATGTGAACAACCTACAGTGGTACACTGATACGGATGTATCCATGTGAACAACTTACAGTGGTACACTGATACGGATGTATACATGATAAACAACCTACAGTGGTACACCGATAAGGATGTATCCATGTGAAAAACTTACATTGGTATACTGATAAGGATGTATATATGACAAACAACATACAGTGGCATACTGATAAGGATATATACATGCTGAACAACTTACAGTGGTACACTGATAAGGATTTATCAATGTGAACAACTTACAGTGGTATACTGACAAGAATGTATACATGGCAAATAACTTACAGTGGTACACTGATAAGGATGTACCCATGTGAACAACCTATGGTGGTACACTGATAAGGATGTATATATTACAAACAACTTACATATACTGATAAGGATGTATTCATGCTGAAAAACCTACAGTGGTACACTGATAAGGATGTATCCATGTGAACAACTTACAGTGATATACTGATAAGGATGTATACATGTGAACAAACTACAGTGGTACACTGATACGGATGTATCCACGTGAACAACTTACAGTGGTATACTGATAAGGATGTATATATTACAAACAACTTACAGTGGTACACTGATAAGGAAGTATCCATGTGAACAACTTACAGTGGTATAGTGATAAGGATGTATCCATGTGAATAACCTACTGTGGTATACTGATAAGGATGTATACATGCTGAACAACTTACAGTGGTACACTGATACGGATGTATCCATGTGAACAATTCACAGTGGTAAACTGATAAGGATGTATACATGACAAACAACCAAAAGTGGTATACTGATAAGGATGTATACATGCTGAACAAGTTACAATGGTATACTGATAAGGATGTATCTACATGAACAACTTACAGTGGTATACTGATAAGGATGTATACATGACAAACAACTTACAGTGGTACACTGATACGGATGTATCCACGTGAACAAAATTACAGTGGTATACTGATAAGGATGTATATATTACAAACAACTTACAGTGGTACACTGATAAGGATGTATCCATGTGAACAACTTACAGTGGTATACTGATAAGGATGTATCCATGTGAACAACCTACGGTGGTATACTGATAAGGATGTATACATGCTGAACAACTTACAGTGGTACACTGATACGGATGTATCCATGTGAACAATTTACAGTGGTATACTGATAAGGAGGTATCCACGTGAACAACCTACAGTGGTATACTGATAAGGATGTATACATGCTGAACAACTTACAGTGGTACACTGATAAGGGTGTATCCACGTGAACAACTTACAGTGGTATACTGATAAGGATGTATCCATGTGAACAACCTACAGTGGTATACTGACAAGAATGTATACATGACAAACAACTTACAGTGGTACACTGATAAGGATGTATCCACGTGAACATGTTACAGTGGTATACTGATAAGGATGTATCCATGTGAACAACTTACAGTGGTATACTGATAAGGATGTATCCATGTGAACAACCTTCAGTGGTATACTGATAAGGATGTATAGATGATAAACAACTTACATATACTGATAAGGATGTATACATGCTGAACAACTTACAGTGGTACACTGATAAGGATGCATCAATGTGAACAACTTACAGTGGTATACTGATGAGGATGTACCAATGTGAACAACCTTCAGTGGTATACTGATAAGGATGTAAATATGCTGAACAATTTACAGTGGTACACTGAAACGGATGTATCCATGTGAACAATTTACAGTGGTATACTGATAAGGATGTATCCATGTGAACAACCTACAGTGGTATACTGATAAGTATGTATCCATGTGAACAACCTAAAGTGGTATACTGATAAGGATGTATCCATGTGAACAACCTACAGTGGTATACTGATAAGGATGTATACATGTGAACAACTTACAGTGGTACACTGATAAGGATGTATCCATGTGAACAACTTACGGTGGTATACTGATAAGGATGTATCCATGTGAACAAGTTACAGTGGTATACTGGTAAGGATGTATCCATGTGGAGAGGTTACAGTGGTACACTGATAAGGATGTATCCATGTGAACAACCTACAGTGGTACACTGATAAGGATGTATCCATGTGAACAACCCACGGTGGTACACTGATAAGGATGTTTACATGAGAAACAACTTACATTGGTACACTGATAAGGATCTATACATGACAAACAACTTACAGTGGTATACTGATAAGGATGTATCCATGTGAACAACTTACAGTGGTATACTGACAAGAATGTATACATGACAAACAACTTACAGTGGTACACTGATAAGGATGTATCCACGTGAACATGTTACAGTGGTATACTGATAAGGATGTATCCATGTGAACAACCTACAGTGGTACACTGATGAGGATGTATACATGACAAACAACTTACAGTGGTATACTGATAAGGATTTATACATGCTGAACAACTTACAGTGGTACACTGATACGGATGTATACATGCTGAACAACTTACAGTTGTATACTGATAAGGATGTGTCCATGTGAACAACTTACAGTGGTACACCGATAAGGATGTATACATGACAAACAACTTATAGTGGTATACTGATAAGGATGTATCCATGTGAAGAACCTACAGTGGTATACTGATAAGGATGTATACATGACAAACAACCTACAGTGGTACACTGATAAGGATGTATCCATGTGAACAACTTACAATGGTACAATTGATACGGATGTATCCATGTGAACAACTTATAGTGGTATGCTGATAAGGCTGTATCCATGTGAACAACTTACAGTGGTATACTGATAAGGATGTATCCACGTGAACAACTTACAGTGGTACACTGATAAGGATGTATCCATGTGAACAACTTACAGTGGTATACTGATAAGGATGTGTCCATGTGAACAACCTACAGTGGTACACTGATGAGGATGTATACATGACAAACAACTTACAGTGGTATACTGATAAGGATTTATACATGCTGAACAACTTACAGTGGTAATCTGATAAGGATGTATCCACGTGAACAACTTACAGTGGTATACTGATAAGGATGTATATATTACAAACAACTTACAGTGGTACACTGATAAGGATGTATCCATGTGAACAACTTACAGTGGTATAGTGATAAGGATGTATCCATGTGAATAACCTACTGTGGTATACTGATAAGGATGTATACATGCTGAACAACTTACAGTGGTACACTGATACGGATGTATCCATGTGAACAATTCACAGTGGTAAACTGATAAGGATGTATACATGACAAACAACCAAAAGTGGTATACTGATAAGGATGTATACATGCTGAACAAGTTACAATGGTATACTGATAAGGATGTATCTACATGAACAACTTACAGTGGTATACTGATAAGGATGTATACATGACAAACAACTTACAGTGGTACACTGATACGGATGTATCCACGTGAACAAAATTACAGTGGTATACTGATAAGGATGTATATATTAGAAACAACTTACAGTGGTATACCGATAAGGATGTATACATGACAAACAACTTACAGTGGTATACTGATAAGGAGGTATCCATGTGAAGAACTTACAGTGGTATACTGATAGGGATGTATACATGTGAACAACCTACAGTGGTACACTGATAAGGATGTATCCATGTGAACAACCTACAGTGGTATACTGATAAGGATGTATCCACGTAAAGAACTTACAATGGTATACTGATAAAGATGTATACATGAGAAACAACTTACCGTGGTATACTGATAAGAATGTATCCATGTGAAGAACTTACAGTGGTACACTGAGAAGGATGTATCCATGTGAACAACCTACATTGGTACACTGATAAGGATGTATCCATGTGAACAACCTACAGTGGTACACTGATAAGGATGTATCCATGTGAACAACTTACAGTGGTATACTGATAAGGATGTATCCACGTGAACAACTTACAGTGGTATACTGATAAGGATGTATACATGAGAAACAACTTACAGTGGTATACCGATAAGGATGTATACATGACAAACAACTTACAGTGGTATACTGATAAGGAGGTATCCATGTGAAGAACTTACAGTGGTATACTGATAGGGATGTATACATGTGAACAACCTACAGTGGTACACTGATAAGGATGTATCCATGTGAACAACCTACAGTGGTATACTGATAAGGATGTATCCACGTAAAGAACTTACAATGGTATACTGATAAGGATGTATACATGAGAAACAACTTACCGTGGTATACTGATAAGAATGTATCCATGTGAAGAACTTACAGAGGTACACTGAGAAGGATGTATCCATGTGAACAACCTACATTGGTACACTGATAAGGATGTATCCATGTGAAGAACCTACGGTGGTACACTGATAAGGATGTATCCATGTGAACAACCTACAGTGGTACACTGATAAGGATGTATGGATGTGAACAACTTACAGTGGCATATTGATAAGGATGTATACATGCTGAAGAATTTGCAGTGGTGTCATGACAAAAAAGTATGAATGTTGAACTATTTAGTGATATGCTTTTGGTATCACTGTAGTATTGAAAAATGATTCGTTTCCTAATCATCATGGCCGTCGATAAAAAAAACCCATTTTGACAATACTACTGCAGTTTTAACATATATCTTTCTTTTCACATATGTGGCTACATCGAGTGGTGCATTATCAAGAGAGATGTTTCTCCTTTCTTGGGAAAGCTTTTCAAACTTTCGGCAATGTGAAATGAAAAAAGAACAAAGTTTTTTTAATCAAGATGTTTATTTTTGAACTGCATCGCACGATAACAGCATCATTTAACAATAGTAAGGTCGTCCAAAGCGATATCTCTCAGAGGGGCGTTGCATCTATCTTCGCTTTCTTCAAACATCTGTAACAACGATCAGATTATATTCAATAACAATAACAACAACCAGTTTTTATACTGCAGTTAGTTTCACAGTGTTTTAGTTGCCCTGTGGTACAGAGTTTAATCTTTTTTAGGACAATATATGATAAATGATGTACCCCAAATGTCCAAATGCACCCCAGTGATTCTGATTCTTCTGGCAAGTGCAGTGAAACCCAAGAAGGAAGCAGGTGAAATTTCCCGGATTAACAATGTTGACGTTACATTTAAAAGACAAATATCGATGCAAGAAGAGAGACGTGTTGCCTTACTTAAATTATTATTAACGTTATTAGACATGCAACTTACGACTTGTTGAACAGGCACCTGCTGTTAAGCTGAAATCATCGATCGCAACATCACCCAAATAGCCACTTCCAACGATGGCCTCAAAGACAATTTGGTAAGGCGTGTTGCTTGACACAGTCGTGAGAGAGACCATGGCCATCATCCATGAGTTACCTTGATTTCCTGTTAACGAGTGCGTGCGTTAGTGAGTGATTTGGGTAACGCCTTTTTTACAACTGATGCAACCCACAAGAACGGCTGTGATACGGACATCCAAGGATCCTAATCGGGGCTTGGCTGAGCACACGTACCGTATGTTTTGAACATAACATGGAACGTTCATCTCATCTTGACACTTCTCTTATTGTAATTGCATATTTTCTTGAGTATCAAACGTATGAGAGAACTGTACCTTGATCTAAACAGAGTTAGTGAATGTAGATTTAACGCCGTCTAAGCAATGCCCAGCCATATCACAAAGGAGCTTCAAATCCATGTACGGATTCAAACCCAAGTCTTTGGCTTGATGAGTGAGGTGCTACTGTGTGACGTGATTTGACGTTTGTTGTTTAACGCCGCACTCAGCAATTTTCAAGCTACATGACGGCGGTCTGTAAATAATCGAGTGTGGACCAGACAATCCAATGATTGATATCATGAGCATCGATCTACACAATATGTAAAAGGGAATTTTAGAAAGCATTTTTATATAAATTTATATGATAAATTTTAAATTCAGTGAAAAACAAAGTGCTTATGGTTTTTCGCTGGCGTTGCTAGTTTTCCAACAATACACTGTTGATAAAAAACGCTTCATTAGTCCTACGGTGTGACGGACATAAACTTGACCACTGGGCCTCCTAAACGCCCGCAGTTATCGTAAGGAGAATGCAAAGTTTGACAATACCACAACGTCTTACCTGACAAGTGCCAAATAGAAGAACCCCTGGCACCATTTCTCAAGACATAGACTTTCAGAGTACCCTCTGAGGATCCATACATGTAGTACCAGAACGTGACGCATGATGGTGTGGTGGGTCCAGACAACACGGAGGAAATCAGTCGAGCATCATCACCGGCTCTTCTTGGAGCGGAGGTCTCAATATACATGTAGTAACCTGCATCAAGAAAGTGGGAAAAGTGGGAACTCTGAGAGTAAGGCTGGCATCCTTTGAAAGTGACGACACTTCAAGAATCAAAGCCGGTTGAAGCCCCTTCAGGCAATCATATTTACAATCTAGTTACTTAAGGACCACACAAAGTATAAAATTGTAAATGGTTGTTGAGAGAAACATATGACCAATGAAAGTTGCTGTTACTTTAGCCTGGTGGTATGGTTCAAGAAACAGACATCCAGCAACTCACGACTGCCAATGTTTGTGAAAGAAGGGATGGACGTTCATACCTGACATTGTCCCATAAGTGTGGTCACTGGCAGGTCCAGTGCCGGAGGAAGAGGTTGACCCCCGCATCCTTGTCCAGTCGAATGTGTCAGAATGGTCTTGAGTGAATCCACAGATGTCATTGGTCTCAAAGTTACATTTATCAGCGGTGGTATTTGACGAGGAGCCCACTGTTGTTCCTGTATCAAATGATTGGTTGACTTGTGAGTAACCAAGATTATTTCAGTATCACCAGGTTGTTGTTGCCCTGCCTGGCCGGCTTTGAGTCAGTATACTGTGTCTGAGTTGGGTATCGGGTAAGCACAACGTTAAACCATTTTTCACCTCAACTATCCAACGCTTGACGTTTCTTGACTTGAATGTTCAAGATAAAGGTATTGATATAACATGTACGATGTGGATTAAACATAATTAGTTGGCACATAAAAGATAAAATTGAATTCAGGACAATTACATTTAAATCTTAAAAAAAATGAAAAATGATTTCCTACACTTAGCATTTGAAGTAATTTTAGGTTTTCAAAAATGGATTAAAAAACACCCCTAAAAGGTGCTCTCTCTGAGAGGAACAAGTTTCATTTACATGACTATCACATGATAACTAACAACGTATTGTCAGTGCTGATCGTGAGGCTAATTTCAACATTGAAAGATTGAGAGAGTTTGTCTTTCACTGCTAGTAGTCATTTTTAAGCTGTGTCACAGCAGGAGTCATCAATGATAGATAATTGATGAGGTCCCCGTGCAAAAAATCAACCCAAGGTCTTCGACTAGACAGAACCAACACTTTAAGCACTCGGCTACCGAAACCGTCAAAATGAAATGAAATAGTGATTATTGTTTGAAGAAGCATACGAACTTAAAATTTAAGTGATAACTGAATTGTGCACATCCGTTAGAAATACGTTATGCTAACCTGCAGGTTTCGGTGTTGATTTGTTGCTGGGTGTTGATTTTAGCGTTGTTCTGGTTGTGGATATTTTTCGAGTTATTGGTTCCTGGGTCAAAGTCGGTCTAGCTGAATTGGGAATAGCTGAAACGCAATACGAATGCTTTGATATCATGAGTGAGGTTGGAATGACCTCGCTTGAACATCGCTTGCAACGCAGGTCAAACATGTTGAAACTGTCAGTGAAACTAGCGAGCATTAGCACGACAGTGGCGAACCATGAATCATAGTTTGTGCGAATCTCGAATTTGAACAGACGACTAGTGAATTATCGCACAGCTACTCGACAAAGGCAGTTGCATCTGCCTGAGTCAGTGAATGGTTAAGCAGGGTTCGATTCCTTTTGGAAGTTACAGCTGCTCATTTAAATGACACCTATCGATGCAAGAAGAGGAAGACGGTGCCCTTATTTAAATTATTAACGTTATTAGACATGCAACTTACGACTTGTTGAACAGGCACCTGCTGTCAAGCTGAAATCATCGATCGCAATATCACCCAAATAGCTGCTTCCCACGATGCCCTCAAAGACAATTTGGTAAGGCGTGTTGCTTGAAACAGTCGTGAGAGAAACCATGGTCATCATCCAAGAGTTACCTTGATTTCCTGTTAACGAGTGCGGAGTTAGTGAGTGATTTGGGTAACGCCTTTTTTACCACTGATGCAACCCACAAGAACGGCTGTGATACGGACATAAAAGGATCCTAATCGGGGCTTGGCTGAGCACCCGTACCATATGTTTTGAACATAACATGGAACGTTCATCTCATCTTGACACTTCTCTTATTGTAATTGCATATTTTCTTGAGTATCAAACCTATGAATGAACTGTACTTTGATCTAAACAGAGTTAGTGAATGTAGATTTAACGCCGTCTTAGAATTGCCCAGCCATACCACGTAGGAGTTTGAAAGATTTGGCTTCAAGCCCATCTAAGATTCAAACCCCAAGTCTTTGGCTTGATGAGTGAATATGCCCACCATGTGACGTGACGTGACGTGACGTGACGTGACGTGACGTGACGTGACGTGACGTTGTTTAACGCCGCACTCAGCAATATTCCAGCTATATGACGGCGGTCTGTAAATAATCGAGTGTGGACCAGAAAATCCAGTGATTGGGTGAGTATGGTTTTTCGCTGGCGTTGGTCGTTTTTCCAACAATACACTGTGGATAAAAAGGGGCTTCACTAGTCCTACGGTGTGACGGACATAAACTTGACCACTGGGCCTCCTAAACGCCCGCAGTTATCGTAAGGAGAATGCAAAGTTTGACAATACCACAACGTCTTACCTGACAAGTGCCAAATAGGAGAACCCCTGGCACCATTTCTCAAGACATAGACATTCAGAGTACCCTCTGAGGATCCATACATGTAGTACCAGAACGTGACGCATGATGGTGTCGTGGGTCCAGACAACACGGAGGAAATCAGTCGAGCATCATCACCGGCTCTTCTTGGAGCGGAGGTCTCAATATACATGTAGTAACCTGCATCAAGAAAGTGGGAAAAGTGGGAACTCTGAGAGTAAGGCTGGCATCCTTTGAAAGTGACGACACTTCAAGAATCAAAGCCGGTTGAAGCCCCTTCAGGCAATCAAGTTTACAATCTAGCTGCTTAAGGACCGCATAAATTATAATATTGTAAATGGTTGTTGAGAGAAACATATGACCAATGAAAGTTGCTGTTACTTTAGCCTGGTGGTATGGTTCAAGAAACAGACATCCAGCAACTCACGACTGCCAGTGTTTGTGAAAGAAGGGATGGACGTTCATACCTGACATTGTCCCATAAGTGTGGTCACTGGCAGGTCCAGTGCCGGAGGAAGAGGTTGACCCCCGCATCCTTGTCCAGTCGAATGTGTCAGAATGGTCTTGAGTGAATCCACAGATGTCATTGGTCTCAAAGTTACATTTATCAGCGGTGGTATTTGACGAGGAGCCCACTGTTGTTCCTGTATCAAATGATTGGTTGACTTGTGAGTAACCAAGATTATTATAGTATCACCAGGTTGTTGTTGCCTTGCCTGGTCGGCTTTGAGTCAGTATACTGTGTCTGAGTGGGGTATTCAGGTTAAACTGCGGCCTGGTATCTCAGTGTGATGGCACTATAAAACCGGCATAGGCCCGGACTAGTACAAGCAGCAACATATGTGAAATACTCTTAAGCACAACGTTAAACCATTTTTCACCTCACCTATCCAACGCTTGACGTTTCTTGTCTTCAATGTTCGAGATAAAGGTATTGATATAACAAGAACGATGTGGATTAAACATAATTAATTGGCACATAAAAGAAAAAGTGAATTCAGGACGATTACATTTAAATCTAAAAAAATTAAATGAAAGATGATTTCCCACCCTTAGCATTTGAAGTAATCTTAGGTTTTCAAAAATGGATTAAAAAACACCCCCAAAAGGTGCTCTCTCTGAGAGGAACAAGTTTCATTTACATGACTATCACATGATAACTAACAACGTATTGTCAGTGCTGATCGTGAGGCTAATTTCAACATTGAAAGATTGAGAGAGTTTGTCTTTCACTGCTAGTAGTCATTTTTAAGCTGTGTCACAGCAGGAGTCATCAATGATAGATAATTGATGAGGTCCCCGTGCAAAAATCAACCCAAGGTCTTCGGCTAGACAGAACCAACACTTTAAGCACTCGGCTACCGAAGCCGTCAAAATGAAATGAAATAGTGATTATTGTTTGAAGAAGCATACGAACTTAAAATTTAAGTGATAACTGAATTGTGCACATCCGTTAGAAATACGTTATGCTAACCTGCAGGTTTCGGTGTTGATTTGTTGCTGGGTGTTGATTTCAGCGTTGTTCTGGTTGTGGATATTTTTCGAGTTATTGGTTCCTGGGTCACAGTCGGTCTAGCTGAATTGGGAATAGCTGAAACGCAATACGAATGCTTTGATATCATGAGTGAGGTTGGGATGACCTCGCTTGAACATCGCTTGCAACGCAGGTCAAACATGTTGAAACTGTCAGTGAAACTAGCGAGCATGAGCACGACAGTGGCGAACCATGAATCATAGTTTGTGCGAATCTCGAATTCGAACAGACGACTAGTGAATTATCGCACAGCTACTCGACAAAGGCAGTTGCATCTGCCTGAGTCAGTGAATGGTTAAGCAGGGTTCGATTCCTTTTGGAAGTTACAGCTGCTCATTTAAATGACACCTATCGATGCAAGAAGAGGAAGACGGTGCCCTTATTTAAATTATCAACGTTATTAGACATGCAACTTACGACTTGTTGAACAGGCACCTGCTGTCAAGCTGAAATCATCGATCGCAATATCACCCAAATAGCTGCTTCCCACGATGCCCTCAAAGACAATTTGGTAAGGCGTGTTGCTTGAAACAGTCGTGAGAGAGACCATGGCCATCATCCATGAGTTACCTTGATTTCCTGTTAACGAGTGCGGAGTTAGTGAGTGATTTGGGTAACGCCTTTTTTACCACTGATTCAACCCACAAGAACGGCTGTGATACGGACATAAAAGGATCCTAATCGGGGCTTGGCTGAGCACCCGTACCATATGTTTTGAACATAACATGGAACGTTCATCTCATCTTGACACTTCTCTTATTGTAATTGCATATTTTCTTGAGTATCAAACCTATAAATGAACTGTACTTTGATCTAAATAGAGTTAGTGAATGTAGATTTAACGCCGTCTTAGAATTGCCCAGCCATACCACGTAGGAGTTTGAAAGATTTGGCTTCAAGCCCATCTAAGATTCAAACCCAAAGTCTTTGGCTTGATGAGTGAATATGTTCACCATGTGACGTGACGTGACGTGACGTGACGTGACGTGACGTGACGTGACGTTGTTTAACGCCGCACTCAGCAATATTCCAGCTATATGACGGCGGTCTGAAAATAATCGAGTGTGGACCAGACAATCCAGTGATTGGGTGAGTATGGTTTTTGCTGGCGTTGGTAGTTTTCCAACAATACACTGTGGATAAAAAGGGGCTTCACTAGTCCTACGGTGTGACGGACATAAACTTGACCACTGGGCCTCCTAAACGCCCGCAGTTATCGTAAGGAGAATGCAAAGTTTGACAATACCACAACGTCTTACCTGACAAGTGCCAAATAGGAGAACCCCTGGCACCATTTCTCAAGACATAGACATTCAGAGTACCCTCTGAGGATCCATACATGTAGTACCAGAACGTGACGCATGATGGTGTGGTGGGTCCAGACAACACGGAGGAAATCAGTCGAGCATCATCACCGGCTCTTTTTGGAGAGGAGGTCTCAATATACATGTAGTAACCTGCATCAAGAAAGTGGGAAAAGAATCAAAGCCGGTTGAAGCCCCTTCAGGCAATCACATTTACAATCTAGCTGCTTAAGGACCGCATAAATTATAATATTGTAAATGGTTGTTGAGAGAAACACATGACCATTGAAAGTTTCTGTTACTTTAGCCTGGTGGTGCGGTTCAAGAAACAGACATCCTGCAACTCACGACTGCCAATGTTTGTGAAAGAAGGGATGGACGTTCATACCTGACATTGTCCCATAAGTGTGGTCACTGGCAGGTCCAGTGCCGTAGAAAGAGGTTGACCCCCGCTTCCTTGTCCAGTCGAACGTGTCAGAATGGTCTTGAGTGAATCCACAGATGTCATTGGTCTCAAAGTTACATTTATCAGCGGTGGTATTTGACGAGGAGCCCACTGTTGTTCCTGTATCAAATGATTGGTTGACTTGTGAGTAACCAAGATTATTTCAGTATCATCAGGTTGTTGTTGCCCTGCTTGGCCGGCTTTGAGTCAGTATACTGTGTCTGAGTTGGGTATTGGGTAAGCACAACGTTAAACCATTTTTCACCTCACCTATCCAACGCTTGACGTTTCTTGTCTTGAATGTTCAAGATAAAGGTATTGATATAACATGTACGATGTGGATTAAACATAATTAGTTGGCACATAAAAGAAAAATTGAATTCAGGAAAATTACATTTAAATCTAAAAAAAAATGAAAAATGATTTCCCACACTTAGCATTTGAAGTAATCTTAGGTTTTCAAAAATGGATTAAAAAACACCCCCAAAAGGTGCTCTCTCTGAGAGGAACAAGATTCATTTACATGACTATCACATGATAACTAACAACTTATTGTCAGTGCTGATCGTGAGGCTAATTTCAACATTGAAAGATTGAGCGAGTGTGTCTTTCACTGCTAGTAGTCATTTTTAAGCTGTGTCACAGCAGGAGTCATCAATGATAGATAATTGATGAGGTCCCCGTGCAAAAAATCAACCCAAGGTCTTCGGCTAGACAGAACCAACACTTTAAGCAATCGGCTACCGAAACCGTCAACATGAAATGAAATAGTGATTATTGTTTGAAGAAGCATACGAACTTAAAATTTAAGTGATAACTGAATTGTGCACATCCGCTAGAAATACGTTATGCTAACCTGCAGGTTTCGGTGTTGATTTGTTGCTGGGTGTTGATTTTAGCGTTGTTCTGGTTGTGGATATTTTTCGAGTTATTGGTTCCTGGGTCAAAGTCGGTCTAGCTGAATTGGGAATAGATGATAAGCAATACGAATGCTTTGATATCATGAGTGAGGTCGGGATGACCTCGCTTGAACATCGCTTGCAACGCAGGTCAAACATGTTTAAACTGTCAGTGAAACTAGCGAGCATTAGCACGACAGTGGCGAACCATGAATCATAGTTTGTGCGAATCTCGAATTCGAACAGACGACTAGTGAATTATCGCACAGCTACTCGACAAAGGCAGTTGCATCTGCCTGAGTCAGTGAATGATTACGCAGGGTTCGATTCCTTTTGGAAGTTACAGCTGCTCATTTAAATGACACCTATCGATGCAAGAAGAGGAAGACGGTGCCCTTATTTAAATTATCAACGTTATTAGACATGCAACTTACGACTTGTTGAACAGGCACCTGCTGTCAAGCTGAAATCATCGATCGCAATATCACCCAAATAGCTGCTTCCCACGATGCCCTCAAAGACAATTTGGTAAGGCGTGTTGCTTGACACAGTCGTGAGAGAGACCATGGCCATCATCCATGAGTTACCTTGATTTCCTGTTAACGAGTGCGGAGTTAGTGAGTGATTTGGGTAACGACTTTTTTTTACCACTGATGCAACCCACAAGAACGGTTGTGAAACGGACATCCAAGGATCCTAATCGGGGCTTGGCTGAGCACCCGTACCATATGTTTTGAACATAACATGGAACGTTCATCTCATCTTGACACTTCTCTTATTGTAATTGCATATTTTCTTGAGTATCAAACCTATGAATGAACTGTACTTTGATCTAAATAGAGTTAGTGAATGTAGATTTAACGCCGTCTTAGCATTGCCAAGCCTTACCACGTAGGAGTTTGAAAGATTTGGCTTCAAGCCCATCTAAGATTCAAACCCCAAGTCTTTGGCTTGATGAGTGAATATGCCCACCATTTGACGTAACGTGACGTGACGTGACGTTTGTTGTTTAACGCCGCATTCAGCAATATTCAAGCTATATGACGGCGGTCTGTAAATAATCGAGTGTGGACCAGAAAATCCAGTGATTGGGTGAGTATGGTTTTTCGCTGGCGTTGGTAGTTTTCCAACAATACACTGTGGATAAAAAGGGGCTTCACTAGTCCTACGGTGTGACGGACATAAACTTGACCACTGGGCCTCCTAAACGCCCGCAGTTATCGTAAGGAGAATGCAAAGTTTGACAATACCACAACGTCTTACCTGACAAGTGCCAAATAGGAGAACCCCTGGCACCATTTCTCAAGACATAGACATTCAGAGTACCCTCTGAGGATCCATACATGTAGTACCAGAACGTGACGCATGATGGTGTGGTGGGTCCAGACAACACGGAGGAAATCAGTCGAGCATCATCACCGGCTCTTCTTGGAGCGGAGGTCTCAATATACATGTAGTAACCTGCATCAAATAAGTCGGAAAAGTGGGAACTCTAAGAGTAAGGCTGGCATCCTTTGAAAGTGACGACACTTCAAGAATCAAAGCCGGTTGAAGCCCCTTCAGGCAATCAAGTTTACAATCTAGCTGCTTAAGGACCGGATAAATTATAATATTGTAAATGGTTGTTGAGGGAAACACATTACCAATGAAAGTTGCTGTTACTTTAGCCTGGTGGTATGGTTCAAGAAACAGACATCCAGCAACTCACGACTGCCAATGTTTGTGAAAGAAGGGATGGACGTTCATACCTGACATTGTCCCATAAGTGTGGTCACTGGCAGGTCCAGTGCCGGAGGAAGAGGTTGACCCCCGCATCCTTGTCCAGTCGAACGTGTCAGAATGGTCTTGAGTGAATCCACAGATGTCATTGGTCTCAAAGTTACATTTATCAGCGGTGGTATTTGACGAGGAGCCCACTGTTGTTCCTGTATCAAATGATTGGTTGACTTTCAGTATCACCAGGTTGTTGTTGCCCTGCCTGGCCGGCTTTGAGTCAGTATACTGTGCCTGAGTGGGGTATTCAGGTTAACCTGCGGCCTGGTATCTCAGTGTGCTGGCACTATAAAACCGGCAGAGGTCCGGACTAGTACAAGCAGCAACACATGTGAAATACTCTTAAGCACAACGTTAAACCATTTTTCACCTCACCTATCCAACGCTTGACGTTTCTTGTCTTGAATGTTCGAGATAAAGGTTTTGATATAACATGTACGATGTGGAGTAAACATAATTAGTTGGAACATAAAAGAAAAAGTGAATTCAGGATAATTACATTTAAATCTCTAAAAAAATTGAAAAATGATTTCCCACACTTAGCATTTGAAGTAATCTTAGGTTTTCAAAAATGGATTAAAAACAAAGTTGCTCTATCTCAGAGGAACAAGTTTTATTCACATGACTATCACATGATAACTAACAACGTATTGTCAATGTTGATCGCGGGGCCAATTTTCCACATTGAAAGATTAAGAGAGTTTGTCTTTCATTGCTAGTAGTCATTTTTAAGCTGTGTCACAGCAGGAGTCATCAATGATAGATAATTGATGAGGTCCCCATGCAAGAAATCAACCCAAGGTCTTCGGCTAGACAGACCAACACTTTAAGCACCAGGCTACCGAAGCCGGCAAAATGAAATGTTTTAAGAAGCATACAAATTTAAAAGAAAAGTGACAGCTTAACTGTGCACAATCGTCAGAAAAACGTTAAGTAAACCTGTAGATTTCGGTATTGGTTTGGTGCAGAGTGTACATTTTTGCATTCTTGTGCTTGTGGTTATTATTCGAATTATAGGTTCCTGGGTCACGGCTGGGTAGGATATTCAGGAAAGAAGTAGACATCCCCTTGGTTACCAATTGTGCTCCCCTTATTGCTGATATGTTTTTTTCATCTATTCTCGGATTTGAAAACTCAAAACAAGGAAATTTGTCCAAGAAGACTAACTATACTTCAGGTATATTGATGATCTGATATCATTCAATAACCATCAAAGAGCCAATTAAGTTCTTGTTTCACATGGAGATCTATGCGTAAAGATTCAGAGCGACAAAACACTATCCACAAGACTTTATGACAAAAGGGATGTTTAAATTGCACAACTTGTGAGACACACTCGACCCTGCGCTTCTACGACGATTTCAATCATGTGACTTTTGTCAGAAGTTGTTTGATCAAGGTAACATTCAAGGCCTCAATGAAGCCTTCAAAAAGTGTTATGGGGAGGAAAAGTGTTATGTGGAGGACATTTCCCAATGTGAATCACTGACTGAGTATGGTTTTACGCCGCTTTTAGCAATATTCAAGCAATATCACGGCGGGGGACACCAGAAATGGGCTTCACACATTGTACCCATGTCGGGAATCGAACCCGGGTCTTCGGCGCAATGTGAATCAGCATTTTGACTTGTACGATATATTCCTATGTTTTTTCAGGTGCTTTTTCTTGCTTTGCATGTGTTTGTGACGGGTGCCAACAGTGGGGCAGAATACGCTCACCTTTTCGCAAACACCTGATATCATCACTGCATTTATTTGATAGTGATTATTTAACACATGCTCATGATATAGTAAGAATCGTACAATCGACGTCCGATCTCTTTTGCTTTTAGCAAAGACTTCTTATAAATATGGAATGGATTTTGTCATCCCTGCCACTGTGGAAATACTGTAATGACATCAGTGATTCATACAGTTAATTATTCCACTCAGCATTGTATTTGTCTTCATTTTGCAGTTCGGCGCAGAAGATAACGTTACGGATAACATCCTCATTCTTTGCAACGATGTTTCAGAACTGATTCTTGACCCTCTATCAAGTTAAAGAGCAAGAACTAGCCCTGAAACGGCAATAACAAGCATGAGATACTCATAGCCCCCACGAATATGAATATTGTGTGCAAGGCAAGAAATATTGTAAGCCAAAGTCGTTGCCCTGGAAACTCGAAAAATAAAGTTTAAAAAATCACAAACTATCAAATGGCATCGACCTCAATATTCTGGAAAAATGTTTTATGGAAAAGGTTAAACTAAATACTTTTAAGTACATGCATAATATATGCTGGATCAAATCAGTGATTATGTAAATAGAAACTCTTTAAAGACATCATAAGGTGCCTGAACATTCAGCTGCTAGTGACCACATAACGACACAACTGACTACGCAATATTTTAAAATGCTAACCTGAAGGTTTCAGGGTTGGTGCAGCACTCTGTGTTGATTTCGGCGTTGTTTTGGTTACGTTTGTTATTCGAGTGGTTGGTTCCTGGGTCACTGTTGGTCTAGCTGCACTGGGAAAAACTGAAACACAATATGAATGCTTTGGAATGTAGAGTGACTTGAGGTTTACTTCGCTTGACCATCATGTTGGAACATGTTGTACAAGTCAAACTATGGAATTGCATCGGACACAATTTTGGTCACCGAGGAAATGTCCTCTAGATGTCCACAATAACAGTTTTTGAAAGCTTTAATGAGGCCTTCAATGTTGATCAAACAACTTTTGACAAGAGTAGAATGACGCACTTGAAAATCTTCGTAGAAGCAACCTATTGCTCGACGAACAGGTAAAGTTGACTATTAGAAAGTTGAAGTCGAACAGATGAGGTAGTCTCACTGGTCTCCTTTATTTCTAGTTCAGGTGAGTAAATGAATGGAAGGGATTTGGTTATTTAAACATGAGATTATCGATATGCCTGACGCTAAAGTTTAATTTCTTGGCCAAATTTTCTTGCTTTGACTTTGTCAGTCTGAGCAGTCCGATTCATGTGCATAAAGAACCGTATCAGCAAAGTGGTGAGCACAATTTGTGCCCATGGGATGTATACGTCTCTACCCCCTAGTTTTACATATATGTTATCAATGAGGAAATGTAACATTTTACAAATTGGCTTACATTTTTTAAACAAATTGTCCTGAACCTCTGAAGATAGATATGGATCAAGGAATGAAGTTTTTCCTCTCGTTTGTCGTTTGATAAAATGGTGTACAAAATATAAAAAACAGATGTTTTTACATTATTTAATTTTGATTGCTCCTGTGTGACAATCGTTCCTGTGACAGTCTACTGAGTACTTACTTCCACAGTTCGACGTCGTGAAGATGATGTCGTCAATTGCGATGTCTCCAGTGTAACTGCTTCCACGGATCCCTTCAAACACGATGGTATAACTATTTGTCTTCTCTGTGATTGGTGCCTGACCACTGAACCAAGCGTCGCCATGGTTACCAGATTGATGCCAGATCATATCGTCAGCTCGCCCTGTTCGGGAATTTTGAGGAATTTGTTCAACAACCATGATCACATACTGGGGATGTTCTGATGGAATGATGAAATGGACGTGTAATATGGGTGTAAATATTTCAGATGACTTGTGCGAATACTTAAATTGCATAAGTATTCTGAAATTGCATGAGTACATAAGCCTCCTAAACAATACTATTTTAGATGATAAAAGTACTGCAATACTATGGATACTTGACATACGGATTCTGCCTAGTTCGAGACTGGTGTACTTGCTACTAAGTGACTATGACAGCAATAGAGTATGAACGTCATCGCCATATCAAATATTCTATTATTAAAAATCAGGGTGTATCAAAGTACCGTCTACGAGTAAATTAATTTTGATACTATGAGGACGTTTATGTTAACGTGTATATTATGGATATAATGTATGTCAAAGTCAAAGAAAATTGTATTTATCTAACTAAAGTTTATTGCTCATATACAGGTGTACGATTGTGTTACCATGGCAATAAATAAAAACGACAAACCCCTTTCCACATTGTAAGTATTTATAATATTCAGAATAAATCTGAATAGTTAACAATTAACACCGTAAGATAATATATAATGTAGATAATCTTGTATTTACAGTTGACATTAATCTTTATGAATTTGAACATATTAACATGATGACAGAAATGCCGTGAACGTTCGACTTACCTGGCACTCTGATGTAGACGTTGAGAGTACCGACCGAATCCCCGTACATGCTGTACCAGAACTTGATGCACCTGCCGCTGGATGTCACGGGAGGGAAACTTTCACTGACCAGCCACGCCTTGTCTCCGGTCAGTCGTGGGGCCGAGGTTTCAATGTAGAGGTACTTGCCTGAAAAATAAAACAGCATGATCTCAAGTGGTAGTCATGTTCGTGTATCTCTATCATATTACCTCTGTCACTTTGTTACTTTTTCACTTGTGACTGACCCGACGTGATATATCATCTGTTTCAATACAATTTGGCAGTTGACCTAAACTTTTACATTTTGCAAAAATGCAGGATCAACAACTTCAAGAACCCACAGAAGATGACAGAAGTTACGAAAATTTAACAAATTTAGAGACTCCAACATTAGGCAACCAAATGAAAACTTATTAGCGTGAAAACAATAAAAGTCCCGGGATCGATGGCTTTCCTATTGAAATTGTAAAGGTTTTCTGGAAAGAACTAAAATTCTGGATTTACAGATAAAAAGTACTTCTGCTAATAACAAAATAAGTATGACAATGAAAAGAGGAATTATAAAATCAACATTGGAATTGCTCATTCATAATAATCAAACAGGATTTATTCCAAGAAGATCTATTTCAGAAAACACAAGGTTGTTATATGATATTATCTTTGAATCAAAAAGACAAAATAAACCAGGATTACTTCTGCTGATCGATTTTGAAAAGGCATTTGATACAGTATCAAAACAATTTATAAATAAAGTTTTACACAAATATGGATTTGGACCAGAAATGATAACTTACGATACCACATCAAGCATAATACAAAATGGGCATATTTCAGATTTTTTTACAAATGAAAGAGGCTGTCGATAAGGACACCCATTGTCGCCATATATTTTTCTCCTAGTAGCTGAAATCCTAGGATGTATGATTGGAAATAATAATAAAATTGAAGGGATTACAGTCAATGACAAAGAATACAAACTTGTGTAATATGCTGATGATACGAATTATTTCTAAATGGCAAAGATGAAAGCGTATATGCAGCTATAGAAACACTAAATGAATTCTACAAAATGTCTGGCTTAAAAATTAATGTAGACAAGACAAAAGCAATATGGATAGGCTCAAAAGCGGGTAGCAATGATCGTTTATGTCAAGACAAATGGCACAATTTGAAGTATTAGGAATTATGTTTAATTCAAACTTAAGTGAACTCTGGGTAATCAATACAAAAAGAAAGCTAGAAGAAATAGATACATTGCTTGCAAATTGAGAAAAAGAAATCTAACGATAATAGTTACAGTCATAAAAACTTTAGCATTGTCAAAACTAGTTCATATATTTTCGATACTACCTAAACCTCCTGAGGACTTTGTCTTGTCACTTGACAAAATATTTTACAATTTTATCTGGAATAATAAAAAAGACAAAATCAAAAGGAGCACTTTGACAAGAAAATATGAGGAAGGTGGATTACGCATGATAAACATTAGAGCCTTTATTGACGCACTAAAACTCTCTTCACTCAGATTAAAAAACAACATATAGTAACCCTTGTAATATCCCAATTAAAGATATACTATATTTGGGTGCCAATGTTGACAAGCAATCTTTTGTTTAAAACCCATACTGGAAAGATGTATTGAAAGCTTGGAACAATTTTTGTAAAAAAAATATGATTAACGTTGATAATATAGAAGAAATTTTGTCCCCAACCATTATGGCTCAACCACAACTTCAAACAAGCAACATACTACATAAAGCAATGGGCTAATAGTGGATTTTTCTCAATTAAAGATATATGCAATGAAAACGGATGGATGTCATTTGAAGAACTGAAACTAAAATATCCGATAAAAGGTACAATATTAGATTATAGATATGTAACCTTCAATATACCAGAATCATGGAAAACAACAATCAAGAAAACTAGAAAAATAATTTTACAGAATTTGTATATAAACAGTTGCTTAAGTGATCTGATGAAGCCTGTAAAAGGCGCTAGAATCTTTTATGATAAACTAATATCAAAAGAAAATAATCTTAAAGTTTGTGATAAATGGCAATCAATTTTTCACTGTGATTTTAATTGGAAAACAATATTTACTGTTTATAGATATAAACTGAAGGATGTACAACTTTTAGATTTTCATTACAGATTCTACATGGAATTATCTACACAAAGAAGGAACTAATAACAATTAATCTTGTGGACAACAGTGTTTGTAGCTTTTGTAATGCTGTCAATGAGGACGTCAGCCATGTCTTTTGGGAATGTAATGAAACTACACAATTTTGGAATGATCTCGAACTTTGGCTTAACAATTATCTTTCACCCAAAAAAATTTGACAAAATATCTTATTAGGTTAGGTTCTAACTACTTTACTACTTTAATCAATCATGTAGTTTTATTGGGAAAAAGGCATATACATGTAAGTGGAATTAAAGGAACCAAACCGAAAATAGATATACTTTTAAAACTATTTAAAAACATATATTCAATCGAGAAATGTATTGCTATAAAAAAGGATGACAAAAATAACTTTAACAAAAATGGTCACCTTTATTCTCAGCATTTGATTCATAGCTCTCTGTTGATACATGATATGTTTGAGTCTGATTGTGTGTTGCAACCGTTTTGGTTTTAAACAGGACAATGTTGGTTTCCAACCCTTTAATTTTTAAATTTTTTAATTTAATCCGAAATATGTCTTTGACGGAATACTGTATTAATCTACAACTCTGGGAACAATAAAAAAGTTTTAAAAAACCCAAAAAACTTCAAGAACCCACGCTGAAGAAACACTGTTAAAGTAAAATACTTTTAAAAAATAAAAATATTCTAAGACCGTTGAAGTCGGCAACATTGTTGAATGACGGTGATCATGACATGAAGATTTAAACGTCGGTTTGATAATCGTGTCATTTCGGCTTTTGAGAAAGGTGGTGGTAAATATACGTTCAGTGAATGGTCGGACCTTCACCTTATTCACTTCACCATCATTAAATAATAATGACATGATTTGTATATGAAATATTCGGCTGCTCACCTTCTGGCGTGACGAGGGTGTGGTCAACAGAAGGTCCAGTAAAGGAACTGGGCGTCCCACCGTCGTCCTCAGTCCAGTCAAACTGATCTCCCATGGCAGTGTTCTCCCAGGTACACAGATCAGATTCGAATGTGCAGTCGCCTGTAGATGAAGAAAGTGACAGAGAACTAATTCCCCGTACAGACACACAATAGTGCTCGTTCAGCTTTAAATAGCATACACAATCCCGACTTGAACTGACAAACATCAGTTGGGAAAAAACCGAAAGTACCACACTCTATTGAAGGCCAATCTAAAAATTAAGTACAATTATCACACTGAGACAAATTTCAATTTCCAGAGGGCACATATTACAACGATAATTATGGACCAGGCACCGGGAACCGGACAGTGACAGCTGTCCCCTATGAAGAAAGAAATGTGAATAGTCAGGTATCAGGGGTTAAGATCAATCTGGTCAATCATTGTGTCCATCTATTATATATCAGTAGAGTGAAGTCCTCTGTATACCATGTGCTGCAGTAGCTTAAATGGAAACTGGTAGGTGAAATCTTTTCGTACAAATGTTAACTTACCAGGAATCGAACATGCACCCACGGTGAAACTGACATCGTCCAGTGCTATATCTGATCTGAAGCTTGCGCCTAGGACGCCTTCAAACATCATCTAAATACCATATAAAGTATTTATTATTATCGCCCTGGTAATTGTTGTTATAAGACCTTAGCCACACGTTATATATTTTGATGAATGCAATTTCTTATTGCCAGACATTGAAGATTCAGTGATAAAATGTGTGAAACCGTAATATGACCATTATTTCTGATTCTACATGAATTGCCGCTTATATATTAGTTCCTAGTGCAGGAACGCCTTCGTGGTCAAGTGGATAAAGCGTCTGCGCGGAGATCGATAGGTCGTGTGTTCGATCCCCGGGCGCGTCATACCACAGGACGATAAAGATGTTATTTGCTGTTACCCGGTCTTGCGCTTGGCTTTAAGGGGCTAAAACACGGACTGTTCGGCTCAGAGTCAATATACTGAGTCTGAGTGGGGTATTCATGTTAAACGGCCGCATGGTATCTCTGTGGGCTAGCACTATAAATCGGCATCAGGACAAGTACAAGCAGACACACACACACACACACACACACACACACACACACACACACACACACACACACACACACGTGCATGCACATCGCTATGTAAGTGCAATAATCTTGGATGCGTTATGGGGGTGGGGGAGGTGCTGTAGAATACGCACCCGGTATCCTAAAGCGGAAGTTGCAGTGGATGTTGGGATTGTTGCCTGACCAACTATCCATTTGTTGCCCTGGTTACCCTGACGTGAAAATAATGGTCGACCTGTGCTATTTCCGACCTGCAAAACGAGTTTTAAAGGTTACACATATACATACATAAATATGACCGTATGGGGATAATATAATTACAGGTCATTTCAGAATACGTATTCTATGAATAGGACATATATAACTTTGACAAAATACGTGAGATCATATTCTTTTAAAAATACAAGAAAATTAATGTCAGGATCACCCGATACTCATATAAAAATACTTCGGAGAAACACCATGAAAATATGAATTTGACATACCTCAGCATAGGCGTTGAAAGTTCCCATTGTAGCCCCGTACATGTGGTAGTAGAACTGGGCGCACATTGCCTGTCTGTCATAATAGACCGGCGTCAAGATGCGTGCTTTGTCTCCCTGTCTACGGGAAGATGCTTCAGTGAACAGATAATGCCCTGAACGAAAATAGATGAAAACACTCTGTTCACTCTGGTTATCCTGAATCTCGGTTATCACGAAAAAAATATTTGTTATCAAGTGAGACCAAGGTGTATATGCTTGTTATGGAGTAGGCCCTAAATGAATATCGTCTCGTGGTGATATTCGTCTCTGTATCTCCACTAGTTGTCTCGAATATTAATATACGACGTCAGCTGAATTTTATAATGATATAATTGTCCACGTTTATCGCAATTGACCTTTACTCTTAACTACACGTTCAAGTTACAGATTCCTAAATATAAGAGAGAAAATCATTTCCACAGCCACAAGAAATCTTTATAAAATCAGAGTTGATTTTAAGATTCCGACTGTATTCATGAGCATGTGTTTATGAATCACTATAACATGGTGCTGACACCAGGTATTATCGAAAAGGTGAGCGTAAACTTTTTAAAATGAAATAAACATGCGTTAACTTGATTACATCATTTCATAACCATCAGTTCTACAACGTTATCATCCGGGCGGGAATCCTTCCACGTGTGCGTGAGTTTTGAACAGTATTTAAATTTTATCAAGGAGTGGCATCTTGGTGAGGGGGAACACCTTGAGTTGATGTAGACCTCAGATTGTGAAACCCAATAGTACCGACACAGACGCCGGTCCATGTCGATGATAGGGACAGAGAAGGTATTTAATAGAGAGACTTCTTTGACTGAAAGTACAGTAAACTACGGTTATAACGAACACGCTTATAAAGAACTGACATATATAACGAACTTATTTTTTTAGTCCTAGTCATTTCTTGTATATATGCTGTAAGTATGCTTATAACGAACTACGGTTATTACGAACTAAAATTAGTGGTCCCTTTGAGTTCGTTATAACCGTAGTTTACTGTATTGACACAATATGACTCACGCTGTCATCGGTCCAAGAATCTTGATAACTTCACAAATACCTACCGCTTGATGTTCCGTAAGTATGGTCGCTGGGTCCTGTGCCTCGGTTGTATCTTAACGCTATTCTACGAGTGAGTGAGTGAGTTGGTTTTAACGCCGCTTTTACAGTATTCAAGTTATATCACGGCGTGTCAGCTTAATGTGGGAGGAAAGCCCGGAGTGATGTAGGTATCAGACGTTTACCACTTCGGTGAAACCCACGGGTATGGTGCTGACAAACCTAGAAACATAATCGGGGCGAACCGGGATTCGAACCCACAATCATAGGTTTCTGGCCAAGGGACGCAGCTCTGCACAGCGAATCGCGGCGCCTTAGACGACTGGGCCACCCGTGCCCCCCTACTCTACGATGTCAGCTGCATTTTATATGGTTATTTTTTTTAACATGTATATCGAAAATGATTCCATATTGAAATTGCATGTTCAAATTACATGTTCAAAAAACACTTCCTATCACGGACTTTCCTTCTCAAACTATAACGAAAAAGATAAAACTTTGAAAACTTAGTTGCCGTTAACGCGGTATATCATTCCAGAACTATCAGACCCATAATGTCAATATCTCGTAGACGACCAAGAGTGAGTGAGTTTGGTTCAACGCCAACAATATTCCAGTTTTTGACGTTTACCACTTTGGTGAAACACACTGCCAAGGCATGGTGCTGAAACCTACAGGGCGAATCTGGGAATGGAATCCTAGTTTCTTCACCTCACAGTTACCTACCACTTGTTGTTCCGTATGTATGGTCGTTGCTAGGTCCTGTGCCGTAGCTGGTCGTTGTATGTGCCGTCCACGTCCAGTCAAAGGTGTCCGTCTTGTCCTGGGTGTAGCCACAGATTGCCTTATCTTCGAAGTCACATTTCCTGACGACCTGACCTGGGTGGACAGCGCTGTGGACAGTCGGTACTAAAGAAAAAGCGATTGAGTTGGTGAGTGAGTTGGGTGTCACACAAACCAGTAATTTAGTTGTCTTCTATATGTCATACATATGTTCCCGGTTTTTCTTCAGGTGAACAATTGACTTGCCCTTGAAAGTGTTTGTGACTGGTGCCACTGGTGGGGCATGATACGCTCGATTTCTTGCGAAAACCTGGTATCATCACTATTTCATTGTGATTCAAAAACAGATACTTTTGACATAGGCTGAATCGTACTATTGAGTGTTATTTTTGGAGGAATTTCTTATGATAATAGAAAGGGTTTGGGCGTTTTTATTTATGAAAGTAACATTAAACTTTTATCCTTTTCTATTCCTTCCAAATTCGTAAAATATGGGAACATGACCTTAGGTCATCGTAACCCAAAGAAATGAATAAAACCATCAATATCCTTATCGCATGAATTTATATTTAATGATGGCGGATAGTCATCAGTAGAATTGAACTTCTATTTAATGTACCTGTACATGCTCCATCTGCCAAACCCACGTCATCAATAGCAATGTCTCCCCCATACCCGTTAGCAGCCACAGCTTCAATGACAACCTGCAACAATATTTGAACATTTCAACAACTTTTCAAAATAGCAAAATAAGGTTCACTAAGTTACAAGTAATGAACACAATAGTAGCAGTTGAAGTAGCAGTAGTAGATATGGTAGTAGTAATAACAGTGCTAGTCGTAATAGTAATAGTATTAGTAATATTAGTAGAAGTAGCAGTAGCCAGTATAAGTAGTAGTAAAAGCAGTAGTAGTAGTGGCAGTAGTAGCAGTAGTAGTAGCAGTAGCAGTAGAAGTAGTGGCAGTAGTAGCAGTAGTAGCAGTAGCAGTAACAGTAGCAGTATAGGAGCAGGATCAGTAGTAGTAGCAGTAGCAGTAGCAGTAGTAGTAGTGGCAGTAGCAGTAGCCAATAAAAGTTGTAGTAACAGTAGCATTAGTAGCAGTAGCAGTAGTGCGCAGTCGTAGAATTGCAGTAGTAGTAACAGTATTAGTAGTTTTGGCATCATTAATAGTAGCCGTAGCAGTTGTATTACAACTACTACTACTACTACTATTACTACTACTACTACTACTACTACTACTACTATCACCACCTCCACCTCCACCACTACCACTACTGCTATTAGTAGCTCCTACTACTACTGCTTTTGCGACTAATTCCAAGATAAATGCTACTGCCAATACTACCAATGCCAATACTACTACAACAACAACTACAACGACTACTACTACTACTACTGCCACTACTACTACTAAAATCCCTTGAACCCATAATCATGCGATGTCTTCTACTTACTGAATATGGCGTGTGCCCTCTGGATACGGTGATCTGTGCTTGGTTCCAGTTCAATCCCTGGGCTCCTGTCTTGGTCCACACCGGGCTACCGATGGTGGGGGTGGACTTGATGTAAGCGTTGAGTGTGCCGATGTGGTCGCCGTGCATGTGGTACCAGAAGGACAGACACTTGGTCACCATGCGAGGGGTGATGGTCTTGCTCTGAATTCTGGCTGTCTTGTTTGACGTATGTCCACTCGCCTCTGCGTAAAGGTAAAATCCATCTGAAACAAACAGGATTGAAATCAATCCGTGAATAACGGTGTACAAGTTAGTGAGTATGGTCTTACGCCGATTTTAGCAATATTCCAGCAATACTACGGCGAGGGACACCAGAAAACAACATTTTCGTTACCACATTTTCTTGTGTACCATAAAGCAGTCCTATTGCATAAATGATTTTTATCAATGTTTTCAATGAGAACTACAATAACAGTCAAATGAAACAAAATGTTTGCCAAATTCAGATAACCGAACATATTACCTGTACAAAAAGACATAATTTGGATAGTTTAATGGCTTTATATAAATGTTACAGCCAATGTTGTCAAATTATGCATTTTTCCTTCAATTTATGCAATTTTGACCCCCTGAAAATTCACGCACACACTTGCAAGCCTACTACCCAATGAAAATTGTATACAGATACCTCATTATGCAACAGAACAGGTTTAAGGTATACAGGAAAAAGTGGGAACGAATGTCTCAACTAAGCCTCTTTTCCTCTGGTGGCCAATTGACTATCATATCATGCTCGTTGTCTGCACAAGCCAAAGAGCTGAGTCAAAGCAAGACCAACGGTCCACGCCATAGACGCACGAGGACAGACAATCAAAAGAGCCGAGGTGTATCGAATCGTTGCCAATACATTTTTGACAAGTTGAAATATCAATAATTACAATCGATGCCACTCTATTATCGATTTGATGACAGACTAATATATTTGATAATGATCATCACTTCTATTTCATTCTTTGACGTCCATAGACAACCCCTTCAACAAACATGAATCTCTCAGGATGAACATAGGTCATGGTGGAGGTATTTGTCATCACGTCAAATGTTAAACGGTCTACATTGTGGGAAGATAAAACTATCTACTTTCGCACTGCTAATAGTTTTACCACTATTGCATTAGACCATCCAGTCATTGACATCATGAGCATCAATCCACGCAATTGGGATACGATGACATGCATCAACCAAATCAGCGAGCCTGACAACCCGATCCCGTAAGCCGCCTCTCACCACAAGCATGGTCGCCTTTTACGGCAAGCATGGGCTCCTGATGAGACGGATCTTCACGGGTCCCCGGTCCAGTGTAGTCGCCTCTCCTCTTAAGGCTGGCAATAGATGAGTCAATACATATCACAGCAATATACACCAAAAAGACAAAAAAACACGTGAATACTCAAAGCCTGATGCACACATTGTAAGCTATTTGATTCTTATTTCATGACCGCCTCCGTGGTCTAGTGGTAGATCGTCCGCCTGGAGAGGGGAAGGTCCGGAGTTCGATCCCCGGCCGGTCATACCAAAAGACGTTAAAAGATGGTACTTGTTGTTACCCTGTCTGGCACTCGGAATTGAGGGTTAAGGACTGGTCAGCTCGGAGTCAGTATACTGTGTCTGAGTGGGGTATTCATGTTAAACTACGACATGGTATCTCAGTGAGCTAGCACTATAAATCGGCATCAGTCCGGTCTAGTACAAGCAGCCACACACACACGTGAATGCACGTCGCTATATAAGTGCAGTAATCTTGGACGCGACGTTAAACTCACCTCACCTCACCTTCTTATTTCATTTAGCAGCAGAAGTGGTATCACAATACCAGTGAGTATGGTTTTACGCCGATTTTAGCAATATTCCAGCAGTATCACGGCGGGGGACACCAGAAATGGGCTTTACACATTGTACCCATGTCGGGAATCGAGCCCGGGTCTTCGGCGTGACGAGCGAACGCTTTAACCACTAGGCTACCCGACCGCCCCAGCAGAAGTGGTATAAGTATTATCATTAGTAGTGTTGTTGTGGTAGTATAAGGGGTAGTGGTGTTGTTGAGGTTGTAGTACTTATATTGTTATCATCATCATAATACATTTTGTATTGTTTGTCGGGTGGATTGTGTTACATACTGCCTGCTGTGTGGTCCCTCTGGGGCCCCGACCCCATGGATGATGTGGATCCCTGATATCGCGTCCAGTCGAAGTCGTCGTTCTTCATTTGAATCCAGGTGCACATATCGTTGTCAAAACTGCAGGTGACAGGCTTGGACGCTGAAACCGGTGAAACATCAACCCTTCTGCAAAACGGATCAATAACATTTAACGAATAATAATACTACGTGTTGTTTGTTTGTTGTTCAACGCCGCACTAGGCAATATTTCAGCTATATGACGGCTATTTGATTCGTAACAGGACTAAATAAATACAAAATCTAAAGATTAATAAATATGTAAATGTAGTTGGCTGGTTTTCGGTGTGTAGGTGCTTCATATGATGCCGGTCGTAGACGTATACCACTTGAAATCCACGAGCACGGGTTTGACGCGGCCAGAACTTGACTTCTTGCGGATCTGCATATAGAATTGAGGCACTGCAGACGACTGCAGCAAACAGCCTCCGCCTCCACTCACCCCTCACCCCCAGAAACCTATGATTATGGGTTGGAATTCCGGGTCACCCCGTTGATGTTTCTAGATTTGTCAGCACCATACCCGTGTTCGTAGTTCCCCTCAGTGATAAACGTCTAAGATCTGCATCACGCGCATTCAGCTGACTCTAAGTGTGGGAAAGTGAAAGTTAAAAAAATGTATACCTACATTGTTGAACAGTGGACCTCCTCAGAGTAGTTGATGTAGTTAATGTACTGCTGCCTGGAGTTGTTGCTGACGGAGGCTTAGCTTTCGTCGGCGTCACTAGAGCAACATTTATATCCGTATTTAAAGAGACCTTAACACTTAAAGCCATTAATGAAGATATGAGTACACCGCTAGGGAAGGATGCCCCTTCCTGTGCCTATGAAAACATGTGGGCAGCAGATTATATGCATGGCAATGAGAGCCTTGAAGGCGACACCCTTCTGGAAGGCCTGTGACGTCAGCCACACCAGAAACGATCCAGAGAATCCTCGATATAGTGATGACTGACCGGAGATTGACTAAGCTTCATATTGTTAGTTCAGTGGGCATTTCCCAGGAGAGAGTACATTCCATTGAGACAGAAATGTTGCCAATGAAAAAAGCATCAGTTCGTCGAGTTCCCAAGCTTCTGACACCTGATCAAAAACGTGCCATGCACACCCTGTCGCGTGATAATCTAGCTGTACGATAAATATTCTTGCAACGATTTGTGATTATTGATGAAACCTTGCTACACCACTTCCATCCTGACCCAAACAGCAGTCAATACAGTGGAAGCATTTGTCATCACCACAGCCTGACTGTCCCATCTGATCAACTTAAAAGGTTATGACATCCTTGTTCTGGTGAGGTGAGTGAAATTGGGTTCAACGTCGCGCCTAAGATTATTGCACTTATATAGCGACGTGCATGTACGTGTGTGCGTTTGTGTGGCTGCTTGTACTACTCTGGACTGATGCCGATTTATATTGCTAGCTCACTGAGATACCATGCCGCAGCTTTGACATGCATACCCCACTCTGACACAGTAAACTGACTCCGAACCGACCTTGTCCTTGTTTTAGGCCCTTAATGCCGAGCGCAAGACAGGGTAACAACAAGTAACGTCTTTTGGTATTTCGCGGCCGGGGATCGAACCCGGACCTTCCGCTCTCCGGGCGGACGCTCTACCACTAGACCACGGAGGCGGTCTCCTTGTTCTGGGACAGACAGTAAACGGAGCATAGTATGCTGCACCACTGAGGCAATTAGGATGGAAGTAAGACCAAGAGACGCGGGAACCACACAAACTGCGTGCTCTTCCATCAGTACAATGCGCCAGTGTACAAATCAGTCATTGCCATGACTACAAGCCATGGCTTTAAACTCCTTCTTCGTCCACTTAATTGTCCTGATCTTGGTCTGTCAAACTTCCATCTGTTCCCAAACAAGATCTAGTCGGAAACTATTTCCATTGGAAAAGCAGCTGTGGAGAATGGTTTGTAAAGCCGAGATAAGGACTTCTACGAAACTGGTTTAACATTCCGCGAACATCGCTGGCAATGAGGAATGGGATCATGTTGACAATTAAATCAGTTTAATGTCCTCAGATCAAAGCTGTCTATGAGAGGCTCAGAACTTGTCAATCACAACGCGTAATTCGTTACCCCTGCCTTGATGGTCTCGAAGCTGCACGGCGTCAGTACCGGCATCCAAGGACTCCTCACCAAAGCGGGGACAGACGCTATCATGGTATCACGAGAACATTGCATATATTTTAACGGTATAGCTCTATACACGTTCTAAAGTAATACAGAACAGGACAGGCGTCAGATTACACAGTGCTGCCACCGTGTGGAGAGTACTGTTCCTTGTAACCATCTGAAAGGGTGACTAAGCCCAATGATTTGTTTCCCATTTCTCATTAATCTCAAGCCGTTGTTTATAGTGCCACCTGGTCCTGTCAAAGTGTCACTGTTTAATTGCTGTTGTATATTAACTGTTAAATAACATACTGTTGTCATAAACATATAATGGTGAATCAACGAGTGAACGCTTTAACCACTAGGCTACCCGACCGCCACCGCCAAACAAACAATGAAAGCCGGCGTGTATGTATGTACAATGGTTGTAGGTATGGAAAATGTTACAGTAAAGAGAAAGTGACACATTCTCTTTAGTCAGGATAACATTGTCAACCTGTTGTTAAGTTCACCTTAGCCAAGTGGTTGGCAGACGCATACAGCGATGGTTGAATATAGAATTTCAGATATATATAAAGCCTGGTTAGGAACACTTAGGTGTTGATAACACTTAGGGCGAGCTGGTCACATTTAGTCGATTAAGTAACACTTTGTCGAGTAAGTAACATTTAGGCGTGTTGAAGTTAGTAACACTTAGTCGAGTACGTAACACTTAGTCGAGAAAGTGAGATGTTGAGTTGAATAAGTAACGCTTATGAGTGTTCAAGTTAAGAACACTTAGTCGATTGTGTACACCTTAGTAACACTTAGTCGAGTAATTAACATGTAGGGGTATTTAAGTTGGTAATACTTTGCCGAGTAAGTAACAACAGGAGTGTTCAGGTAAGTAACAGTTAATCAAGTAAGTAACACTTAGTCGAGTTAATAACACATTGGTAGAATTAAAGTTACTTACACTTGGTTGAGGTATTAAACTATTAAAATTATTACCTTGCAGAGAACAGGGCCCGTTGATAATTTTCGTGTCGTCGATGGAGATGACACCTTTCTCTCCCTGTCCTCTAACAGCCTCGATCACAACCTGCCGGTGGTAAAGTCACTTGCTATTGAGCAATTGTAAATATGCTTTTCTCAACTGCAAGTTTATATCAGCCAAGGAAATGCTCATCTCAAACCGCAATCAAACATTAAATTACTTATACTGCTCAAACACAAAGAACGCCATGACGTCACGAAGGCGATGACGTCATATTGACGGATGAACATCACATTACACACAATCGTTTTTGTTTGTTTGTTGTTTAACGTGTAAATACTCGAGTTTGGACCAGCCAATCCAGTGATTGACATCATGAGCATCAATCTACACAATAGGGATATGATGACATACATCAACCCGATTCCATTTGTCGCCTCTCAAGATGAATTCTAACACGGATCGAATATATCTAGTACGCATGTAAATCATACACAAAGTCTTACAATTTGAGAAGCCTTTGCCTACCTGAAAGTCTGTAGCCTCAGGAAGGTTGATTCTTGTCTCCATCCAGTTGGTTCCCATGTTGCCATGGCGCGTCCAGATGAGTTTCTTCTCGTTGGTCTTCTCGTACACGTTGAGGGCGTTGACGTGCTCTCCGTACATGTTGTAGTGGAAGACGAGACATTTGGACTGACCCTTGGCGATCGTCAACTTCGGGCTGATCAACTGTGCGTTGTCTCCATATCCACCAACGGAAGAATCGACGTAGGCGTAGTGTCCCTCTGTGGACAACGTTAGAGACAGTTCTTCAGAAACAACAGTGTCTGGGTGATTGGATTTTAATGCATGTCTTACCAGTCGGTCAGTTATAGCACGGCGTGCATGTTTCATGTTGAAAGCTCGGCCTGAACGCTCAGGACTGCAGACGGTAAACCCACAAATCCATAACAAATCAAGGCGCGAACGTTCAAGACTGCAGACGGTAAACCCACAAATCCATATCAAATCAAGGCGTGAACGCTCAAGACTGCAGAGGGTAAACCCACAAATCCATAACAAATCAAGGCACGAACGTTCAGGACTGCAGACGGTAAACCCACAAATCCATAACAAAACAAGGCGCGAACATTCAAGACTGCAGACGGTAAACCCACAAATCCATAATAAATCAAGGCGTGAACGTTCAAGACTGCAGACGGTAATACCACAAATCCATAACAAATCAAGGTATTGTGCTAAATCAAGCATCCTTATCAGTGGTAAACTTGGTTTCAATACAAAGACGAGTGACCCTATCATGGGGACGCATTCTGCACTGCGAAATGCAGAGCTTTAGACAATTTGGTTAGCTGTGTCACTTAGTAAACGGAAAGTGTCGTTGGAATCATCAGTTATTCCATAGCAATTTTAAATCATATGCTATTTCGGTAGGAGAATATGAGGCGAGGTGACCTGAAAAGGGGTTTAATGTCGCTTGTATTTCATTTATATTGCAACGTGCATGCGAGTGTGCGTGGTAACTTGTACTAGTGAAGACTCGTGCCGGGTTTTGTGCTTGCGGACAGAGATACTAGGGCCATAGAAAGTTTTGTAGCAGCTGAAATAGTAGTTTAAGTAGGAACAGTTGTATTATTAATAAAAAACATATTGACGTACTGCCGCTCGGTCCAGTAACTACGATTTGGTCTATCAGCATCCAGTCAAATTTGTCGAGTCCTTGATCTTTTGTCCACTGACAGAAGTCGGTTTCAAAAATGCAGTCAAGTTGTGCGCTGACAGCTGAAAGAACAAATTCGGATAGAAATGTTATAATGAGGACGTCAGCAGCCTCATTAGCGGGCATCAACATAGGAACAGATGGAGGACTATCGTCAGAATGAAGCTGAAAGTAATATTTGACATTCGAGCCAAAAAGAGTGATTGAGTGAGTGAGTTTTGTTTTACGCCTCTTTTAGCAATATTCCAGCAATATCACGGCTGGAGACACCAGAAATAGGCTTCACACATTGTTCCATCGAGACAACAAGAGCTTCGGAATATGAATTGTAAATCAAGTTCTTTCACAGATAAAGGGTCGAGATAACAAAAGTAATTTTGATTCTTAGTAATAGAAATTGACTTTACATGTACAATAAAAAGATCGTAAATCCAACGTGTTTAAATGCATCTGAGCGTGTACGCTTCTTGTAGTAACTTTTAACTCATAAAATCTAAATTCTATGATTTGTTAAACAGTGTTGAATAAATAAATACTAAAAAAATAGAACACCGAAACGTTTTGTTTGTTCGTTTGTTTATTTATTGTTTATCGCCGCACTCAGCAATATTTCAGTGATATGACGACGGTCTGTAAATAATCGAGTCTGGACCAGAACATCCTGTGATTGGCATCATGGGCATCGATCCACGCACCTGGGATACAATGACATACATCAACAAAGTCAGCGATCCCGTAAGTCGCCTCTTAAGACAAGCATAGTCGCCTTTTACTGCAAGCATGGGTTGCTACAGACCTATTCTGACTCGGATCTTCACGGGTTTACACCGAAACGTCGCATTCATTGCAATAAAGAAGTTGTATGTCCATAGAACTGTCTCCCTTGTTCTTCAGGTAGTTTTTAACAAGGTAAATAGGTTATGAATTTGTTAGTTAATACAAAAAGTTTTGCTATATGTTTTCACATATGTGCCAAAACGACGTACAGAATGAAAGGTTGGTTGGTTGGTTGGTTTGTTGTTTACGCCGCACTCAGCAATATTCCAGCTATATGACGGCGGTCTGTAAATAATCGAGTCTGGACCAGACAATCCAGTGATTAATATCATGAGCATCGATCCACGCAATTGGGATCGATGATATGCATCAACCAAGTCAGCGAGCCTGACCACCGGATCCCGTTAGTCACCTTTTACGGCAAGTATGGGTTGCTGAAGACCTATTCTACCCCGGCGTCTTCACGAGAGAATGAGAGGAATAGGCACACAGAATGAGAGGAATAGGCGAGTAGATATGAATTACCATTGTAACATATTGTAATGATATTGAGGCTTGTTTGTTTTACGCCGCACTCAGGATTTTATCAGCTATAGGACGTAAATACGCGTCCCGTGAAGAGTCCGGATCAGAATGGGGTGGTCAGCCTTGCTGACTTGGTTGATGCATGTAATCGTATCTCAATTGCTTTAATCGATGCGCATGATGTCAATCATTGGATAGCCTGGTCAAGAATCGATTATTTACAGACCGCCGTCATGTAGATGGTATATTGCTGAGGGCGGCGTTAAACATCTAAAACACGATAAATACACGTCTGAACCAGACGATCCGGGGACTGACATCATTAGCAGCGATCTACTTAATTCGGATACGATGACATGTATCAACCAATCCACTGGATCCATAAGTCGCATCTTACGATAAAGATGGGTTGCTGAAAACCACGAGTCATCGTCACGTGTGATATCGAGGCACATGCAAATGATATGAACAATATGATCCGGAACAAAATATGCATGTCGTATGCCACCAAATTATATAAATATATATATCAAAACGTACCTGAACATCCAACTGCGAGCGCCAACAAACGCACGACTGAAGCTCCGGTCATTCGTTTATTTCGGTGGTACAGCAATGAAATAAGTCACTTTCCCCCGTAAGGCTACGAATGAAGGCTATGTGCGGAGATGTGTCTTAATAAAGGGCGAGCGTTATCAGTTGGGTATACGGGACAACCTTTGCTGTATCATCCCGAACGGAACAAAACACTTGAGACTCATTGTACCACGTTTCATAATCAGACACTTCTATACCGACCATTTCATGTGTCAATCATGTGTCTATCAAATAGTGATAACACCAGGAGGTCTCATCTCCGTGAAGATTCAGGTTAGAATAGGTATTCACCAAAAACCCTATGCTTGCCGAAAACAGCGACGATACTTGTCGTAAGATGCGACTAACGGGATCGGGTGGTCAGTCTCGCTGATTTGCATGTCATCATTTCCCAACAGCGTAGATCGATGCTCATGATATCAATCACTGGATAGTCTGGTCAAGACTCGATTATTTACAGATCGCCGTCATATAGCTGGAATATTGCTGAGTGCGGCGTTAAACAACATACAAGCAAAACAGGAATTCTAAAAAAGGACAATGTATCCTGCTCCACCAGTGACACCCACAAACACTTGTAAAGGAATGTTGTTTGTTCACCTGAGAAAAACACGGTATCATTGGTACAAATCAAAATAAGGAATTGCATCGGACATCATTTGGTACTTGATGAAATTTCCCTCACGTGTCTACCTTAAAACGTTTTGAAAGCGTTACTTAGGCCTTAAGGAGCAGTCGGGTAGCCTAGTGGTTAAAGCTTTCGCTCGTCACGCCGAAGACCCGGGTTCGAATCCCGACATAGGTACAATGTGTGAAGGCCATTTATGGTTTCCCCCGCCGTGATATTGCTAGAATATTGCTAAAAACGACGTAAACCATAATCACTCACTCACTCACACTTTGGTCTTGAATGTTGTAACCCTTTTGAGCATGAGTTGTAAAACGCTCTTTGAACTCTTCGTAGAAAGGACATGCTCGATTGTAGACACAAAAGGATGGAGCTGCTAGAATACTCCCCGACATAACAGTGAGTGAGTGAGTGAGTTGGGTTTAACGCCGCTTTTAACAATATTCCAGTTATATCACGGCGTTTCAGCTTAATGTTGGAGGAAAGCCCGAAGTGATGCAGGTGTCAGACGTTTACCACTTCGGGGAAACCCAAGAGCACGGGTATGGTGCTGACAAACCTAGAAACATAATCGAGGCGAACCGGGATACGAACCCACAACCATTAGGTTTCTGACATAACAGGAACGATGACCATTGTAAAGTAGAAGGCATCCCTCCTATCACACAGCCTTTTGTCACCCTGAATATTTATGCATAGATCTTTATATGAAACAAATGAGGGGCGTTCACTGTTCTCTTTCATTTCTTGTTCAGGTGGGAACATCAGTAGAATTGGTTACTTGATCATTATTGAACGATAGTAAATCATCGATATACCTGAAGGTTAAGTTCACCTCTTGGACCTTGTTTTGACTTTTCTAATCCGACCAGAAAATCCGATTTATATGCATAAAGAAACAGATCAGCCAGAAAGGGAGCTAAGGTGGTGCCATGGGGATGCCTACTTCTTGCCTGAATATCTTCCCCCAAAATGTAACATAGATGTTTTCAATTAGGAAGTCCAGCATTTCACATATTGATTTCTCTGTAGACGATGGCATTTGCATTCACTGCTGACAAATTGCCCTGAACCTCTGAACATGTGCCTCTGAAGATGTATAGATCAAGGTATGAAGTTTTGGTTGTTTTTTTGTTGTTTAACGCCGCACTCAGCACTATTCAAGCGGTCTGTAATTAATCGAGTCTGGACCAAACAATCCAGTGATTTACATCGATCCACGCAATTGGGATACGTAGCGAGCCTGACCACCCGATCCCGTTAGTCGCCTCTTACGCCTTATGAAAAGGCATAGTCGCCTTTTACGGCAAGCATGGGTTACTGAGGACTTATTCTAACCCGGATCTTCACGAGTCCAAGGTATGATGTGTTTCCTTACATTTGTCGTGTGGGATAGTGATGTACAAAGTTAAAAAATAAAAAGTTTCAACAGAATTGAACTTGGTTCTTTTCTAAGATTGTAGGGGCGGTCGGGTAGCCTGGTGGTTAAAGCGTTCGCTCGTCACGCCGAAGACCCGGGTTCGAATCCCGACATGGGTACAATGTGTGAAGCCAATTTCTGGTGTCCCCCGCCGTGATATTGCTGGAATATTGCTAAAAGCGGCGTAAAACCAAACTCACTCACTCACTCTAAGATTGTAAAAGTCAAGCAAATCCTTTGAGTTCTTGAGAATTCACGTCATCCAAAATGCTCATGGAAACGTTCTCGGTGTATTGTTCTTATCTCGACCAGCTCTGGTTGAAAATATAAAAGAAAGTTTGAAAACAAAGAACATGTGATTATTTTCATGCTGCCTTATCCCAGTGGCAGGATGACCCGATTGTAAAAAGAACGAGGCGTTCTTGAACCCAATTTTGAATTCCCTGATCGACGTTACTGACACAGGTGTGGCGTCTGGAGTATGTAGCGACGTGCATGCACGTATCTTTCTGGCCGCTTGTACTATTGTTAACCTCCTGATATACCCTGCCGCTGTTTAACGTGTTAACCCACTTAGAATGAGTGTATGAGTATACCTCACATGCATTAATAAAGACTTACAAGGTGAGGTGAAATGGGGTTTAACGTCGCGTCCAAGATTATTGCACTTATATAGCGACGTGCATGCACGTGTGTGTGTGTGTGTGTGTGTGTGTGTGGCTGCTTGTACTAGTCCGGACTGATGCCGATTTATAGTGCTAGCTCACTGAGATACCATGCCGCACACAGTATACTGACTCCGAGCCGACCAGCCCTTGTTTTAGCCCCTTAATGCCGAGCGCCAGACAGGATAACAACAAGTACCATCTTTTAACGTCTTTTGGTATGACGCGGTCGGGGATCGAACCCGGACCTTCCGCTCTCAGGGCGGACGCACTACCACTAGACCACAGAGGCGGTCTTCTTCTGCTCTCGTAGCTCCCATACATTTATAAAGATTCCCAATAACAGTAGTGATATGACACTCGTCACTCCAGCACGTTAATACAGACTTCAGTAACCCAAGACCTACAACCACGTCCTAGATACAAGGAGATTCATGTATTGTGCAATGAAGTGTTTGTTATCTCGAGATTTGCTATCAGCGCAGGTACGGGCTAATGCGTTCAGTGTGGAGTAAGATCTTGGGCTAGTATCGTTATCTAAAAAAGCCAGTGTGTATACCGCTTGGTCAGGCATCCACAACTCCCACCAGCCATTTAACAGACCCGTGAAGATCTGGGGTAGAATAGTTCTCCAGCAACCCATGCTTGCTGTAAAAAGCGACTATGCTTGTCGTAGGAGGCAGGATCGGGTGTTCAGGCTCGCTTACTTGGTTGATGCATGTCATCGTATCCCAATTGCGTGGATCGATGCTCATAATGTCAATCACTGGATTGTCTGGTCCAGAATTGATTATATACAGACAGCCCTTATCTAGCTGGAACATTGCCGAGTGCGTCGTTAAACAACAAACAAACAAACAAACAAGCAAATCATCATCAGCTTTGACAGTGTTGACATTTTCAGCAAATGCTCTCAGTGACCTCTAAATGGAGGGGGACACGGGTGACCCAATCGTCTAAGGCGCCGCGATTCGTTGTGCAGAGTTGCGTCCCTTGGGCACGCCAGAAACCTATGATTGTGGGTTCGAATCCCGGTTCGCTCCGATTATGTTTCTAGGTTTGTCAGCACCATACCCGTGCTCGTGGGTTTCACCGAAGTGGTAAACGTCTGACACCTGCATCACTTCGGACTTTCCTCCCACATTAAGCTGACACGCCGTGATATAACTGGAATACTGTTTAAAGCGGCGTTAAACCCCACTCACTCACTCATTCTAAATGGAATGCCTGAAGCCAAAAAGGACCTGCCGTGTGTTGCGTATGCACATTTGTCTCGTCTACTGCATAGTTGTGCTAAGCTACAAGTTCATTTTGCGCAATTAACGAAAGATTATGATACATTTAAACGGTAAGATTAGCTTGAGACGTCCCTGCATTGTCACACTTAAAAAATTTTCGTTTATTTTATGTTTAGGATATAACATTCGCTTCAATTTGATATCTTGTTTATGCTCCTCGTGAAACTACTATTTCGCTCGGTATGTAAACTTGATATCAAATCGAACCAGTGTAAAGCCGAAACTGATTCAGTGGGCGTGAACGGTAATACAAGTGGTGAAGAAGGTTGTCAGTTGAGTGAGAACACGCTGTTCGGGAATATCGTTCCTTTGGGATTAGCAGTTGTGTGCTGATTCAGTGGGCGTGAACGGTAATACAAGTGGTGAAGAAGGTTGTCAGTTGAGTGAGAACACGCTGTTCGGGAATATCGTTCCTTTGGGATTAGCAGTTGTGTGCATTACAAAGAGCAAGAAAACACTCAAAAGCATTGACAATACCAGATCAACGTAGCGTCGGTTAGATCATGAGGTGAAAGTCCCTGATTGAATACAGCTATGACATGTTTTTTAAAAGCGTGTCTCGTCAAATGCATGAAATACATATCAACACTTTTACAACATAACCGCGCTGTCGGCCATGTCTAAGAGTTTTACCTTGTGATATGAGGTTAGTTTTACCTTTTTTTTCATTGCCAGAATGTTTTATGTAGTGTTGAAATCATACTCTGGACTGGTTTACGTAACTATATTTTTCTTATTATCATGGACATTGTTTTTGTCCCTTGCTGTTCATACTAATAGTGTAACATGACATGGACAAGAAGGTCCATGGAAAAAAACTACTTTCACCATTCACCATTCACCAAGCTGTTACCGTATGCATTGAAAACACCTAAATCGGAATGGAATATCCATCCATTTCATCAACTATTTACAAATTAGACAGGTTGGTAATTATGAACTGTGGGTTTGTAATCCTGTTTTGGGATGATAAATTTACACAGGATAGTCCACTGTTCATTTTATTGGGGAATCATATGTGATCTGGCCATAATAACATATTTTCAACAAAAACAAGAAATGAATATGACTCCAGGCATACAACGCCGTCTGGAGGTGCACAAGAGGTAGGGCCTTAGCTCTGTGTGCGAGCCATCTGACATCTGATGTTTTTATCTACATGATACACTTAATTATTATCTTCCACGCCTAATTTCACGCACATTTCCTGCTTAATAGCTGTGGTCTTTTTTTCATTTCTTGATTTAAAACATCACTGGGTTTACCGTATACATTGTGGAAAGGGCTCTTAAGGACAGTTTTATCCAAACATGAAGAAAAGTGAATTAAATAATTAAATTTAAAAAACAAAACAACAATAAACATGATAAAAGAGAAGTGTAAAATCGAGCTCGGTTTCAAATTAAAAAAAAGCTATTTAATCTCCAGTTGGACAACATCAAATTTCAAATAAATAAAGCAACAAAACCCTTTCCATATCCAATAGAAATCTCTGCATAAAGCAGAGTCGATTGTACGATTCAGACTGTAACACAGTAGTTTTATTTCCATTCTACCATGATGACAAGAAACGTGTCAAAACGTTAGTCTTTAGGAACGCCTTATTACACATCGGAATATAGGTCAGCGGTTTCGGAACGATCTGAAAGAGGTCACCGGTAGTTGTACATGTAACAAATATTACGCAAGACCAAGATTATTACTTTATTCTTAACTAGTTCAAAATAATGGTTAAAAAAATACAAATAAAAAAAAATTAGTTTTGCAAAACAATTGATGAAATAACCCTCCAGAAATATATTTAATGTCACCGCAACCTGTTGCATATTTTCACTGCTTGGACCAAATCATTCTTGGAAATCAGTCCGACGAGTCATTTTATGAATCCACATGTAGGGATTACATGTAGGCATTACATGTAGGTAGGGATTACATGTAGAACTTACATGTAGGTAGGGATTACATGTAGGTAGGGATTACATGTAGGAATTACATGTAGGTAGGGATTACATGTAGGTAGGGATTACATGTAGGAATTACATGTAGGTAGGGTTTACATGTAGGTAGGGATTACATGTAGGAATTACATGTAGGTAGGGATTACATGTAGGAATTACATGTAGGGATTACATGTAGGGATTACATGTAGGAATTACATGTAGGGATAACATGTAGGGATTACATGTAGGGATTACATGTAAGGATTACATGTAGAGATTACATGTAGGAATTACATGTAGGGATTACATGTAGGTAGGGATAACATGTAGGGATTACATGTAGGTAGGGATTACATGTAGGAATTACATGTAGGAATTACATGTAGGTAGGGATTACATGTAGGGATTACATGTAGGAATTACCTGTAGGGATTACATGTAGGTAGGGATTACATGTAGGAATTACATGTAGGGATTACATGTAGGGATTACATGTAGGAATTACATGTAGGGATAACATGTAGGGATTAAATGTAGGTATTACATGTAGGTAGGGATTATATGTAGGAATTACATGTAGGGATTACATGTAGGGATTACATTTAGGGATTACATGTACGGATAACATGCAGGGATTACATATAGGGATTACATGTAAGGATTACATGTAGAGATTACATGAAGGAATTACATGTAGGGATAACATGTAAGTAGGGGTTACATGTAGGGATTACATGTAAGGATAACATGTAGGGATTACATGTAGGAATTATATATGTAGGTAGGGATTACAAGTAGGGATTACATGTAAGGATTACATGTAGGGATTACATGTAGGAATTACATGTAGGGTTTACATGTAGGTAGGGATTACATGTAGGGATTACATGTAGGGAGGGATTACATGTAGGGAGGGATTACATGTAGGTAGGGATTACATGAAGGAATTACATGTAAGGATAACATGTAGGGATTACATGTAAGGATAACATGTAGGGATTACATATAGGGATTACATGTAGGTAGGGATTACATGTAAGGATAACATGTAGGGATTACATGTAGGGATTACATGTAGGAATTACATGTAGGGATTACATGTAGGAATTACATGTAGGGATTACATGTAGGTAGGGATTACATGTAGGAATTACATGTAGGGATTACATGTAGGGATTACATGTAGGGATTACATGTAGGAATTACATGTAGGGATAACATGTAGGGATTACATGTAGGGATTACATGTAGGTAGGGATTATATGTAGGAATTACATGTAGGGATTACATGTAGGGATTACATGTACGGATAACATGCAGGGATTACATATAAGGATTACATGTAAGGATTACATGTAGAGATTACATGAAGGAATTACATGTAGGGATAACATGTAGGTGGGGATTACATGTAGGGATTACATGTAAGGATAACATGTAGGGATTACATGTAGGAATTATATGTAGGTAGGGATTACATGTAGGGATTTCATGTAAGGATTACATGTAGGGATTACATATAGGAATTACATGTAGGGTTTACATGTAGGTAGGGATTACATGTAGGGATTACATGTAGGGAGGGATTACATGTAGGGAGGGATTACATGTAGGTAGGGATTACCTGTAGGGATTACATGTAAGGATTACATGTAGGGATTACATGTAAGGATTACATGTAGGTAGGGATTACATGTAAGGATAACATGTAGGGATTACATGTAAGGATAACATGTAGGGATTACATATTGGGATTACATGTAGGTAGGGATTACATGTAGGTAGGGGTTACCTGTAGGGATTACATGTAAGGATTACATGAAGGGATTACATATAGGAATTACATGTAGGGATTACATGTAGGTAGGGATTACATGTAAGGATAACATGTAGGGATTACATGTAGGTAGGGATTATATGTAGGAATTACATGTAGGGATTACATGTAGGGATTACGTGTAGGAATTACATGTAGGGATTACATGTAGGTAGGGACTACATGTAGGAATTACATGTAGGGATTACATGTAGGAATTACATGTAGGAATTACATGTAGGGATAACATGTAAGGATTAAATGTAGAGATTACATGTAGGAATTTCATGTAGGAATTACATGTAGGGATAACATGTAGGGATTACATGTAGGGATTACATGTAAGGATTACATGTAGAGATTACATGTAGGAATTTCATGTAGGGATTACATGTAGGTAGGGATTACATGTAGGGATTACATGTAAGGATAACATGTAGGGATTACATGTAGGTAGGGATTACATGTAGGAATTACATGTAGGGATTACATGTAGGTAGGGATTACATGTAGGAATTACATGTGGGGATTACATGTAGGGATTACATGTAGGGATTACATGTAGGGATAACATGTAGGGATTACATGTAAGGGTTACATGTAGAGATTACATGTAGGAATTACATGTAGGGATTACATGTAGGTAGGGATTACATGTAGGGATTACATGTAAGGATAACATGTAGGGATTACATGTAGGAATTACATGTAGGTAGGGATTACATGTAGGGATTACATGTAAGGATTACATGTAGGGATTACATGTAGGAATTACATGTAGGTAGGGATTACATGTAGTTATTACATGTAGGTAGAGATTACATGTAAGGATTACATGCAGGGATTACATGTAGTTAGGCATTACATGTAGTGATTACATGTAGGTAGAGATTACATGTAGGTAGAGATTACACGTAGGGATGACATGTAAGGATTACATGCAGGGATTACATTTAGGTAGAGATTACATGAAGTGATTACATGTAGGTAGAGATTACATGTAGGGATTACATGTAGGTAGGGATTACATGTAGTTATTACACATAGGTAGGGATTACATGTAGTTATAAGATGTAGGTAGAGATAACATGTAGTGATTACATGTAGGTAGAGATTACATGTAGGTAGGGATTACTTGTAAGGATTACATGTAGGGATAACATGTAGGTAGGGATTACATGTAGGGATTACATGTAGGGATTACATGTAGGGATTACATGTAGGTAGGGATTACAAGTAGGGATTACATGTAGATAGGGATTAGATGTAGGTAGGGATTACTTGTAAGCATTACATGCAGGGATTACATGTAGGTAGGGATTAGATGTAGTGATTACATGCAGGTAGAGATTACATGTAGGTAGGGATTACGTGTAGGGAGAACATGTAGGGATTACATGTAGGTAGGGATTAAATGTAGTGATTACATGTAGGTAGAGATTACATGTAGGTAGGGATTACATGTAGGTAGGGATTACATGTAGGGAGAACATGCAGGGATTACATGTAGGTAGGGATTAAATGTAGTGATTACATGTATGTAGAGATTACATGTATGTAGAGATTACATGTATGTAGAGATTACATGTAGGGAGAACATGTAGGGAGAACATGTAGGGATAACATGTAGGTAGGGATTAAATGTAGTGATTACATGTAGGTAGAGATTACATGTAGGTAGGGATTACATGTAGGGATTACATGTAGGGATAACATGTAAGGGATTACATGTAAGGATTACATGTAGGGATTACATGTAGGGATTACAAGTATAGTTACAGGTTGTAGAAATAGTGAAAAAACATGCTGAACGAAATTAATTCTCCCACAAGCTTTATTAGATAACACGAATTTAGTTATTTTGAAGTTGTACTTTAGTAGCAATTGGTT